GCTGCACTGAACCCAGAACAAAGTGTGTGTCCTTTGTATGAAGACCCAGCGCGTCCTCCTGGCACCATCACTGACACCCGCCTTATATTATAAAACAAAACTGGCTGTACATAATTTTACAATTTAGGATCTTGCCACCAGAGACGCCAGATGATATGTCCTGGATGAAAGTGAAGGTGGTCTGAACTCCAACAGTTTTCATCATGTTTGACTCTCTACCTTAGATAGCAAGTGACTGACTTCAGCCAATTCATCATCTGCAGTGATTGGTGCAACTACTAAAACAGATATGCCACCCTGGTGAGTGCAATGGCCTCGGTGGCCATAGAGCTTGACATCACAGTTGAGCAGAAATTCTCACCAAGGCCATACCCAAATGGAGGTGGATTCAGTCCTAGGCACTATTGAGCGATCGCTCCAAAACGCACTGATGTACATCCCAATGGACTACGTGAACATTGTGCTCCAAGCCAGACGCATCCCCAGGTCCTATGAAGTTATGTACCTGGGCCACAGCTTTTTCAAAGATTTCGTAAAGGTCGGAGAGCACTAAACAATCCATCCAGGGAGAAAAGCAGGCGATCCTACTGTCACTGACTTGCACTCCATACTTTAAAATTCAGTACAAGCTGAACTTTGATGATGGATGGCAGGCGCTGCAAGGACCAAGAAAGCTGAACACCATGTGTACGACGGTTACTGCTGGACCTCTCTGCAAAGACAGATTGAAGACAACTGCCAACCAGTATAAACATCTAGTTGGGTTGAAGGCGGTCCTACCACGATGGAACCACAATTACCATGGAACTTTGCCTCAGTAAGACGTTTTGAAAGCGATCAAGTCAAATTCGATTATTGTTGAGTCTTTCAAAACAATGGTAACTTTTGTCGTATTGCCTTGTTATAGCCACAGGACACAGAGTGAGACAGACATGCTCTTCTATTGTTGAGAAAACTCAATAATGTAGTAGTTGTCAAGCCACGCACCTTGAAGAAAGTTGGCGCATTCTTTGATACTTACAAAGTCTTTTTGTATAATAATAATATATTATTAAGAAGCCAACTTCACTCAAACCATTGCTGAGTTAGCAGAGCTCCTCTGTGGCTTTCTGCTTTCATTTCTTTCTCAGTATTACTTTTTTCCGGGCATTTGAAAGGCCACCCAGTGCCAATAGTACCGTGTCAGACACTGTCATAAATTCTAAAGGCCTGCTGATGCTACTGCTACTACTTTTGTTTTTGTTTTTGTTGTTGTGGTTGTTGTTTTTGTTGTTGTTACTGTAGCTGCTCTCCCTTACCATTCGAACCTCCTGTTCTTCTACTTCAAATATAATTAATATACCCATTGCTGTGTTCTGCTTCTTCTACTTCTATTAAATGTTCCAATTTGTGACTGCTGTTTTTGCCAGAATTGACTCCGTAGCACTGAAATGACAGCAGCTGATAGTATGTTGGTAGCAGTAATATCGTCCTCCTCCTCTTCCTTTTTACTCCTCCTCCTCCTCCTTTTTTCTCCTCACCATCCTCCTCCTCCTCCTCCTCCTCAACCTTCTTCTTCTTCTTCTTCTTTTTCTCCTTCTCCTTCTCCTTCTTCTTCAAAAGATCACGACGATTGAAGAACTGATCAAATACGTTACCATCAAGTGTGGCTTGGCTGCACTCAACCAAACTCGAGGCCAGCAGTGGCTTCCTGATAAAATCGGCCAACCCACAAAATTGAGGGTTGGTCGGTTTTATCAGGGAAAATTTGAGCGACATAACCGTCTAACCCACGCAGTTTCATTAAAAGCGATTTTTTAAGAAAAAAAAGGTCTACAGTTTTTCGGCAAAGTGTTTTTATAACTGTTTAAAGCATTGATTTATCGTTAGACACCTTTGTTTTGAAATAAAACAGTTTTTTCCTTCTCCTGTAAAATTTACCTCGCTGGGGTTAGCCGGTTTTATCACAAGGCCGACGATATGTAGAATTATATTTTCCCTCTTACAGAATGGAGCTACAATTAGAGTATCTGTAATGACTGTAGAGAGAAACATATGGCACAGATCTAGGTATTAAACAATGTGCAAACTGCTAGTGCAGTAATTCATTTTACACAAGAACCTAGCGCATATGGCAGTATATATAAACAGGCCAACAAGTGTTGCATACATGGTAACTGCTGACACCTTTCAAGATTTACTATTGGAACTTTTGAAAGTCCAATTAAACCTTTACAAATTCATAATTCAAAGTCCTCATTGTCATTGCTTATAACCACATGTTCATATTAAATATAACACATATCAGGGTACAGTCAAAGACAATAGAAAATGACTACATCAACAACTCCTCTCCCCCCCCCCCCCCATAACAATGAGAAATATTGGCTATTAGCAAGACAGTAACTTAAAAGGGCAAATAGGCAAAGGGAAAGATAGGCCCGGTGACTCACCTCTTCCCTGTGAATCCTGGACAGATAGTTGAGGAACAGATTGTCTGATCCACCTCCCTGAAAATGACATGTCGGACATGAAGATCAAAATATCGGCACATCTGACGTTCACTTAAGACTTAAAATTGGGAGGCTAGGACACTATACCTCTCTTTTCCACGGTCCAGCTAATTCCTATAGTAACATTATTCACCAAAAAATGCTTATGCACTGTTAGTTGCTTTTCCCAAATTCATCTTTTAAAAATAGTAAATTTAACTTTCCATATATCATTTATCTTGTCCACTCCATAGCTGGTCTACCATTCTTATAATCCTCTTATTTTATTCCCAAATCTCTCCTTTCCCTGCTTAACTGCATTCTTTTACCATTTACCTGCCTTAATTACCTCATGTCATTCCTCTGCCAATTACCTCCCTGTATCTGGTAAAAAAAATAACAGTCCAACCTGCTCTTATAATCACCTGCATAAGACAATCACCTGTACAAACGGACACTTCCCATTCATCTTTTGTGTATTTTTTATATTATGATAACACTGTGTAAGACAGCCACCAGTCTAAGATGACTACTTTTCTCCTCGACACTGGATGGCTGTCTTGGACAGTCAGTTCCATTTACTCACCCCTCCCTGGTAAAAAAAACCAACTCACCTATTCTTCCAGATTAAAAAAAAGCATTTTTCTACCCTTGTAAAACACACTTCCCTACCCTCCCTGGCAAAACACACTTCCCTCCCTCCCCCAGGTAAAAAAACACTTACCTCCCCTCCCTGCTCCATGGCGGTCCCCCCACTAGTGCCGTCCACAGACACTGCCTGAGCGTTACAGTCGTTCTCCATTGTCACACACAGGACCTGCAGCGAGGCCTCCACCAGGGGCTCCCGCGAGTCGGTGAACATCAAGTGGTTGTAGGGCAGCCCGTAGCCCACCGGGTCGTACGAGCACAGGCAGTTGAGCAGCGATGTGAACAAGGGTAATGCATGCCTGGGATAAGATGGGAGTTTATGAGTAAAGAAAAGAACAGCAACAAAATAACAGATCATTAAATGCACGTTTTCTTGAGTGCAGACATTTTTTATAAAGTATCTCAGTCTGTTCTGAAGGATGTTGTATCCCATTCAGTCCGGGTTAACCGTAGTTGACAGAGTTGAAGCAGCCAGCCTCCTGATTTATTTTAAATATGTTGATAGAGGTATAAAACCTTTCTTCAAAAGAAGAAAACACTACTTAGACAACAGCCCAACAGCAAGACAAGCCACAAATACATTTTGCCTGTGTACATGAGACAAACTCAGAATAAGGGAACAAAGCCTGACTGACCTGTTCTCTGTGGAGGTGAAGAACTGAATCCACTGGTTGGGGACCACATGAGCATCCGCTGCAGGACAAAAAAGACAAAACAATGTGTCAGGACAGGGAGAAGGGTTTTTTGTTTGTTTTATTTTAGTTTTTTATTTTAGTAAAAATTTTGCGGCACTTGCGACACAATAAGGTTAAATAAGTGCAGAAAATTAACAAATGCAAAAAAGGAGGAGAGATAAGGACGATAGATGTTTGACAGGAAAAAAGGACCAAACCACACCAGAGCACCCGCCAACCACTCACAAGGAGAGAGTTTACTAGTACCTGACACTCCACTCCACCACAAGTCACAACACTTCAGCCACAAAGACATATATGCTGAACTAGAGCTGGGGGCCTGTACGATATTGAACTAGCATGGGACGGTGGGGCAGTTATGAGATAACAGGCAGCTGATGTAGTATGAGACAGGATACACTCACCAACAGGCGGCAGGTACATCGTTTCCGAGAAGCAGGTGAGCAGCAGTTTGAGCAGCTCGGTGCGGTTCTGGTCATGCACAGTGTTGTGGGGCGGGGAGTGAGCAAAACCCACACCGGCTTCCCAGATGTACTCACAGCTGTCGATGGTGCCCATGTCCTCTGGGTTGTCCTGGGAGATGAACACAGAAAAAATATTGGGAACTGTACCACTTCAATGGAAGATCAATAAGGTATGTCTAATCTTATCTGATGCCTATACTAGAATCTGTGGTGGGTTGATGTATTGGGCATCTTCAGATATTGACAGATAAACCATTATCATTATTGATCTTTAGTATATTGACACTTGGTCATATTTCAAAACTGAACCTCTTTTGAGAATCTAAACCCAAAAATTTCAGGACACACCCTTCTGAAAGGGCCTTCAATGTGCGACTAAGTTGGCACAAAAAACACCAGAAGACTCCTCAATAAAAGTGACAGAGAATGCTTTATACCAACAAGAGAGTTTAGTTTTAGTAAGAGTCTTACGGCACTAACAACATAATAAAGTCACATAAGTGCCGTAGATTAGAGGTGTTACAAGCGAGTAACAAACATAAAAAAAGGAGGAGGAGAGATTAGGACGATAGATGTTTGATAAAAAAGAAGGAGCAAACCACACCAGAGCACCCTCCAACCACCCACTCTATCATGAGAAAAGGAGCCATTTTGTAAAAACAGCCAATATGATTGTAATCTATGTGCCCTGGACATTGAAAGAATATAATGAATCAAACATAATAAAAAAAACTGGTAACAAGCACAAGAAAAAGTCATCAGCTGCATGAACACAAGTGAGTAGAGAGAATGTTTCTGTTATGTGAACAATAGACCCCAACAAAAGTAGCAATTTTTTCATACACACGAATAAATAGACTATTCCTGCAATGTGACTGCAAAACCAAACCACAAACACAATCTATAATAATTTGATTGGAGTGACTTACTGGTCCAGATTTCCTAGATGAAGCCACAGTGAACTCTGGGCAGAAGAGCAAATCCTGATGAATATACAAAAAGGATATGAGTCACCAAAGATGCTGTAGTTTAACTCTGTGTAAAAAAGTAATGCTTAAATGAGAGCAACACAGCTTCTAAAAGTACACACATATTTTTGTCCACAACAAAATTATTTTGAACATGTTTAATTAAATAGAGAAGGGCACCCAGTAATCTTAACACTGAAAAGGATTTCTGCACATTAATTCTAGTCTAATAATCCTTTCTACATGCAAAGGCTTCCAAAAGACAGTAATGGAAACCCTTTGGCAATCCTCCACTTCCCTTTAATTTCCAAGTGACAATTTTGAGCAAGATAAAGAACAAAGTGGTCTACTTACACAAACAGCTGTGATCAGGGACTGGGCCAGAGGTGGACTATCACCCTGCATAAAAAACAACAGGTTTATAAGAATTTTCGAAAAAAACCAAATGAGCGTACCTGACAATGTCTGATAAAGATTTATGATATCATTTTCAGATAGAAATGTTGCTAAAATACAGAAAGTCTTAAGTTTTCACTTTTAACAAATTAAATGAAATAATAGAATTAAGTAAAGTCATAAAATAATTGAGGGACATCACTAAAAAGATTATCACTAATGGCTGACTTTAATATAAAAACCCACCTGAATGAACAACAAATATGTAAAAATATTAAGAAAAGTGTGGACATCAATCATAAATGCCCTGTGTAACAATGAAAGAATGTGCATCTGAACTGGGTCAAAACAATCAAAGGATTCATTAATGACTGACCCCAATAACATACTCGAAAGGTCTTGTCACACACAACACCGGAGAGATACACCCAGATAAATAGACAGATAAAAAAAACATTTTATCCCAATGGACATTTTCTAGCAGTCACTAATATTAATAATAATAGTTAAGTACTCTTACAAACAAATAATGAAACTAAGACTGAAAATGCATCTATGTCAGTAAATATCTTCTTTCTCCTTCTCATTCACCATCTCACAAACATACTCACATTCATATATGCATACAGCACATACCTATTTATGACAAAAACAACCCAACCCCTCACCCCCACTCCAAAATGAAATGTACACTAAGATGTAAATAATGTCGATTGTTCCTTTGATTACCTAGTTTTAACAAAATAAAAAAGCTTCAAACCACTCCATGAGAAGCAACTCCCAGTTAATTTCCATCATCAATACTACATTCTCTCCTCACACACTAATCAACCAACACACTCAGGTTACACATCTGTCCATCTACACTTCACATTACACACTAATCATACAAGAATTTAACTTCACAAACTAGAGTTTACTTTTATGACATGCACACATTGCACACTTCAAACTACCCACCTCCTCCTCCTCCTGACCCGGGAGAGTGGACCAGAAAAACCCTCTCCAGTCTGGGTCCTCGAAGATGTAGGGTAGTATGCGTGTAAGGAGACGGACGCAGTTCAGAACTGTTGAATTTAGACAAAAGAAGTCAAAAACAATAATTTCATGTGATTTATCAAGTAAATAGACAAGTAAACACAATTGTGCAATTTATTCAAAATAGACATCTATAACCAATACCAACAACAGAAGCAGAATAAAGGAGAGCATTTTATTTAGAGTATCTTGTTATGAGATTTTTAGGAATATGTCATCAAAAGACTAAATAATGCAAAACATTTCTTTGATAACTTGAGACCATGACAATAATAAAGCACAATTCAATTTAAACCAAGATTCTGTACAACTAGAATCTTTATTCTGTTGATGAGCTATCACTCCTTTACAATGTAATGGGGGAGGGGGGGATAAATGGGATACGCATGCAACCCATATCCTATTTCAAATGATCAATGACAAGGCTCAGAATAATCACGCAAGGATTTGTATATTACACATATTTGTCAAGGGCATGCAAAATAATGGCCGGTATCCAATCGAGGCCACTTAATGCGAGTTTCTGTGTGAGTATGCGTGTCTCTGTATGTGTGTGTCCGCGCGTGAGTGTGTGTGTGAGGTACATTTATGAGAAAGTAAGTGACAGCCATTACGGTATGGTTAAAAAATAGACCTCCGATAGAGACCAAAATTCTTGTCCAGTAAAGAGACTGAACTGACATGGTGAGCTTGCAAATCTAGTCTTTTAGTCTTAACCACTCTTTGTCTAAAGTAAAAAATCTCTAGAATCTGGCTTCAATCTAAAGCAAACATTTCTGGAATCTCAGCGTGACTCACTCATTCAGCTCAATACATGATATAAAATTATTACAGTGTAGCTTTCAACACTAAACTGTAGATAAAACTTGATAAAATTTATTCTGGAACTCTTTTTTTTAAAGCAAGCAGACACAATAAGAGCTCTTTCTGCAACAGTCTACCTGTTTGTTGTTCCCGTTGTGAGGGACATCCTGTCTCAGCAGCAGTTACCAGTTTTTCAACTGCTTTGTAACACAGAGTTGCTAAATTCGACGGAGACTCCTCTCGTAACGCTCGTATTTCTGCTGCAGGGATGAGTGTAAACACATCTTGTACACATGTGACACTCTCTGACCAAAATTGTTCCCAGAATGCTTCATCATTGGCTTCAATTGGCTGAAACAAAATAAACATGATAAACAACTGAGTTGGTCAATTTCATCATGATACATCCACTTTCTTTTTACAAACACACATCCAATAAATAGAGGTATGACAATTATAATGGGTTGACACACTGTCATCAGAGCAGTGCAGTTCATCAAAGCATCTTCAGTTGTTTTTTTTAATCGGAGAGCAGAGGTTAATATCATAATTATTTATTTAATAAATAGGTTATTTCCCCTCTGTACATGCCTTGCCATGGTGGAGAAGCTTACATGTTTACATGTCATTATGACCCTGAGAGCTACAGTAGGGACTTAAAGATAAGTCCTTGGCAAGTTCTACCGAGCTGTACAGGTTGAAAAGAGAGGGCCCAACAATAGTGCTGCGGGCATTGGGGATGGCCCCCCTCAGAAGTAAAAGTTTGAGTGGTGTTGAGAGCTGATGAATAAATACTGAAGTGAAAGGTAGATACTCGAATAGTAAATTCTCTGTATCTAGCTCTTAATTGTCTAAATCTCTTCAGCAGTGAATAAGCTTATCAACTGTATATATCAGAATTATTAAATAAATTTATAAATTGAGTGCAAATTAGTTAAAATAAGAAATTGAAAGAGAAATTTGAGAACTTTCACATATATAGAAAAATATACCGTACATTATCAGCGAAACCAGTGTATCAAAATGAAGATAAATGTCATGTAATATTTCTATTGAAACTAAGAAAACTATCAATCAAGCTTATCCACACATGTGTTGTGTGCTACTGTAAACCGCATAATAATTCATTGTCCACTGGTCAGAAAACAAAAATATATAAAGCACGCTGGTGCACATTCTTCGGCTACAATACATTCCACTGTCACTGACTGCTTCAGAATCACAGTACTTTTTCATTTTATGTCCACGACAATAAGATAGTTTTTGCTTTGCATTTTCTTAACAGCACAAAATCTTTTACGCAAATTTTTACTTTTAGACCTGCACGCAGATGAACTG